ATTCTGGATTATTGTATAAACAGACCCGTTGCATAAAATTACCCTTGGAAGAATCTATTGGTACTCTGACCCCAAGGTTGTTTGTGAGCCCAGGCCAAACCCAAAACTTATTGCAGGCTTGGGTCCAAATCCAGGAGTAAAATGGAAGTGGTTTTGTCAGACAACTTGGTTTTAGCCACCACAGCATCTTCTAGGAAGCAGCCTGATGGGGTTTCTGTGGCATTGTCCAACTCCTTCCACGTAACCTGAGGTTTTCTTGTGTGTGTGTCTGCTCTAGCCTGATGTGGATAATGCGGTGGAAGCAGCAAAGGCAGCATTCCAGAGGGGTTCTCCGTGGCGACAGATGGATGCCCTAAGCAGAGGACGACTCCTGCACAAGCTGGCTGATCTTCTTGAGCGAGACAGAGTCATCCTGGCAGTAAGTACTGTGATTGGTGAGCGGTGATAAACCAGCAACCGTTGGCTGATAAATCTGCTCCAACCCTCTGATTTTGCTGCATCCACATCTACCTAATGTTTTTATTTTCTCTCCCTTTATGAAGCGCAGAAGAGTCCATGCAGGAGTCATGGCTTATCTTTCTCATTCTGCAGGATGATTTTTAGGGGCCTTGGAAGAAGACTGCTAGTTCTTTTATATAGTCGACTTCTCCAAAACTTTGGCTAGCTATTGAAGTGACTACAGATATTAATACTTACATTTTCAAAACAATAAACATTCTTTCTTAGTTAACAGTATCAGTGTTCATAGATGTCTCCCAGTTCTTATCTTAAAAAAAAAACCAAACAAAACTAACAAAAAAACCCCCGAAGCAACCAACAAACAAACCTGAAACAACAACAAAAACCAACCAAAAACACGTTGCCCAAACCATGACGACTGATTTGGTCCTTCTTTATTACAAAAATGCAAGGCCAGTTTGACTTCTTCTCAAATTGATTCCCCTAAAATGGGGGGCTGGAAAGAGAATCTTTCTCTTGCTGGATGTCATTCAAAGTTTAAAATGTGTGTTAGTAGGAACTGTTTCTCTCCCTACTGAATGTACTGGCTCAGGAAAATCTCTTTTATAGCCAGGGAGCTGTGTTAACTTGGACTTCTGAAGAACTGTTGCTAATGATTCCCTATCCTGTCTGGAAGGAGTCCTTCTGGTGTAGAACAAGGGGAGTAGGACCCAAGCTAAAATGTACTGCAGTTGGTAGTAGCCTTTAGACTCTAGGGGCCTTGGTCATCTTTCCAAATTGTGCCCACAGATCCTAGCATCTCTCAGCTTAGAGCTGCTGTCAGTCATAGTCATGGAATTACAGAATGGTTTGGGTTGGAAGGGACCTCAAAGGTCATCTAGTTCCAACCCCCCTGCCATGGGCAGGGACACCTTCCACCAGACCAGGTTGCTCAAGGCTCCATCCAACCTGGTCTTGAACACTTCCAGGGATGGAGCATCCACAGCTTCCTTAGGCAACCTGTGCCAGTGTCTCACCACCCTCAGGGTGAAGAACTTCTTCCTTGTAGCTAGTCTAAACCTGCCCTCTCCCAGCTCCCAACCATTACCCCTTCTCCTGTCACTGCAGGCCCTTGTAAAAAGTCCCTCCTCAGCCTTCTTGTTGGCCCCCCTCAGGTACTGGAAGGCCGCTCCAAGGTCTCCCCAGAGCCTTCTCTTTTCCAGGCTGAACAAGCCCAACTCTCTCAGCCTGTCCTCATAGGAAAGGTGTTCCAACCCTTTGACCATCTTGGTAGCTCTCGCCTGGACTCATTCCAGCAGCTCCATGTCTTTCTTGTGTTGGGGGCGCCAGAGCTGGTCACAGTATTCCAGGTGAGGTCTCACGAGGGCAGAGTAGAGAGGCAGAATCACCTCCCTTGACCTGCTGGCCACACATCTTTTGATGCAGCCCGGGATACGGTTGGCTTTCTGGGCTGCAAGCGCACACTGTTGGCTCATGTTCACCTTATCATCCACCATCGGTCCATCTAAGATCTTGGACCTGAGCACTCACCCGTTCAATATTGCACTTTGGCTCACCTTATCTTCAGGGGAATGGCATTTATGACATTCAGTGCTGTTAGATGTGTTTAAGTTCCTGAGCTGATGTCCAGCTGAGATTGGTAGGACTTAACATACATGGGAAGTGCTTAGGAGCCCGTACTTGCATGACTATGTCAAGCCAGATCTCTTTCTCCAGCACAGTGTCTC